AAATAGGGGCGATATGGGCCAATGGAAGAGATAAATCGAAATCAATATAGCCAAGCGCGCTGCTTCACTGACGCCATGCACACACACACACTACACCGCTTTTGTAACTAAGCGTCAGAAACCATGCATTTACATGGATAGGTGTCGCTCTGTACTCTGTTATTTTCAGTGTGGTACAAAAATACAGATCTTAGGTGTGTGGTTTAGGTTGACTAAAATTGCTTTAACGACACATTTAAAATGACTTACCATCGCGTGGCACCTGAAAATAGTGGCCATCCAGTGACCTGAGCATCACGGGCATTGATATGAGCATTACACGCAGGTCAGCAGACCGCAAAACCATAGTTTTTTCGAAATCTCTTCACATTTCCCTTGCGTCAACTTACTATGAGCTTCTAGCAGAGACACGGGTCCTGATAACTCAATACATATAATGTAGTAGAAAGCCGAAGGGGACGAAGACAACCAGACGACAAACGAAAAAGGAAAGTTGGCTTAGGGTGACGGACGTCCAGCTGTGACGACGTGTGAACAGTGCTGGCTTTCGGGATGTGAAGGAGCTACCAGAAGTAGGCTGACAGGCGTACATCGTTGCTGCCTTAAATATTTTAATATTTCTGATTTAGTTCTAGGTAAGTGTCAACAAACATGTTATAACAGCTCCAGCTTGCAGCCTTATTATCTCAAGGATTTAAAAGCAAAGTCAGCCGCTTACTAGCACTGGAAAGTAAGCAATGGACGTTTTTGCGAAGAATTATGGTAAAAACTTTCAAACAACAGAACATTTTTCAGCGTATACTTTTAACGACAACTTGTATCAGAGACTTTTGCCTTCAAATGCTCTGCAGATCTTAAAAAACATGTTTGTTGAGACGCATCTTTTCATAAAATTGTGGTTTGCTAGCTAGAAGCAAGCTCACACTTTTAACAGCAGGTAGGACGTCAGCTTTTCATCAGATTTCATCATTTCGTCAGAGACAGTCAGATCTTCAAAGAAACATTTTAAGCTGTTCGGCACACTGGGCCATCGTAAAAACGGCTAGGGTGAATTGGCCGCTGAAGAAGATGTGATCCAGTTGTATATTGCAAGTTTGGCAGCATTGCCAAAAATTTTTAAGTGGAAGCCGTTAAATACATGGTGATTTAATCTCTCTTGATCATTATCCTTTCCTTACCACTGACTGGCTGCCTCACAAATGTCCGATGTGGGACTACAACTACCTCCACTATTGAGCCCTAACTGAAAAGCGTTGCTGACTTGAGATTGAATTCCCGATCTACCACTATTCGATCAGAACGTGGAATTGACACTGCGGCGGGCAGAATCAGACGTGCAATTGGCAGCGCAGTTGGCTGTATCGAGCTTGGTAACAGCCCGCTCGTCCAGACCAGCTGCATTGCCGGAGTGGGCCGTTCCTCACGCCCAACGGGATTGAATTATGTACTTCAAATGCTTGTCAATGTAAGTCATACACCATGCTACAGCCTATTCAATTTCAGACAGCACACAAACTGTCGCGATAAGGGCGCTCCTTGCAGTTAGGGAATCATGGAGGATTCGAAATGTTCGTTGTTATTTAAAATAGACAGCATAGTTCACTCATTCATTGCGATCTTAAAAGAGCTGTTTTGAGCCCTCATCCAAAGGATAAATGACCAAATGAGAACGAGACATGTGCACAATCCGCTCACAGCAGCACTGAGGGTGACAAATAGTAAGTACACAGGAAACCTGTTGTTACTCGTAGTGAGGGCATGACCACACCACCAGGCTTCCTGGCTCAGCGCTGGCGGCCCAGACGCTCCGTGGTCTCCATATATACGAGCATTTTTAAACTGAAATGCCTGCAAAAGTGTTCTTTTCATAATTTACCTAGTACAACTGCAGTTCGCAAGCCATCGCCTATGAAAGCATAATCGACGATGAGAAATTAGCGGGGAATAAATATCAGTAAATAACCACTAACGTTCTCGTTTACTGAATTTGTGAAAATGTTTCGTTTTTCAGTTAATGGGATTGCATTCTTTTGTCGCCGTGCAGTATCATTTTGAAAGTATGAGGAGTAAATGATTGCAGGCATATATATATATATATATATATATATATATATATATATATATATATATATATATAAATGTATATATGCATGGTGCAGTGCCAGCCACCTGCCCAGGACCCGTTTTGTTTGCTTTTGATTTGCTTCGCTGGTGGTCTGTGATAACGTTTCTTTGTACTGCGAATGTTAAACTTATACCTGTCCTTGAGAGTTATGGTAGGTGTAGAGGGCTGCTCGCAGTGAGCGCTGCCAAAAGTTGGGGTTGCGAGGTTTCACTCTAAGCTTGACTGTGCGACTGTTTCTCACTTTGTTTCCACGAACATTCTACGCAGATGCTCAAAGAAGTTGAGAAAGACAATAAATGCACAAACTACTCCTGCTTTTCAACATCTATGAATCAGGCTTCAACTACACAGCCAAATGAACACACGCTGGGCGTGGTTTGGGGCCTCTTGCCGAGAGCCAAACCACCCAATATGGTTAGGCCATAATGTCATGCCAAATCATACAAAATCATTGTAATGTTATACCAAATCTGACCACAGGAGAACCCAGGTCCGACAGGCAACTTATACAATATCTATTGATGAATCACATTTCATTATAGCAAACAACGTTTCCAACTATGCAGTGTGTACGCTAGTTGGGTTGTCTCACATTTCTTCCCAGCCTGATGATAACAACCTAGTCGGTAATCATTGTTTCACCAGTGCGATACAAACATGTCAAGAGATCCTTTAATGAGCGCCCTCTTTCTGCCCCGGATTGAGACGGCCTGGGACCAGTGACAGTGGTTCGACTGAAGGTTAAAGGAAAGGTTCCACATTTGAAGACATTGAAGCATCAGACATGATGCAATAAGCTCACTTAAAACTAGGCATACATTTAAGTGAAAACACTGCTCTAGGCAACACAATTTCTCTGTTTAGTTATATGCTTCTCAGTACGTCATTGTTTGATTATATCATCGTACCTAGTACAACATTGATCGAGTGCCAATTGACAGCCGCGATGTTTGGAGAACGTGTTCACGAATGCCAGATATGTACGACTCGACAATCATGTTTGTCTTGGCCTTCATCGCTGCATGACCAAATGAATATCAGGATTTGAATGACGTCATTATGCCGTCTTGGACGCCGGGGGAACCTTGAAATAGACCGCATATCTTTGAGGGCGTATAGCTCAGAAACTGGAGGGGTTTAGTCTTAAGATGGGTGGGGCTGTGAAATGCACCGAGAGGTCTTTAAGATGGCCCTTTCAGCTCAAAATCCCACGCAAATATGGAATACTCTTTTTAACACGCGCTCAGGTGGGGGTCAACTTGACCCTCCGAAGGTTTTTCCAAAATACTTTCTGGACGGCGAGGCGCAGCCACGCCAAATTTTGCATAGCTGAAGATAATAAAATAGCAAATTGTTCGCTATAAAAGGTTCAGATTTTTGCTGTATGGTCGCTGACATGCGTAAGGTCAAGTCGGGCTATGGATTCATTGACGTTAATTTCTAGGGAAACTTTCAATCTGATGCAATTACAGAGTGTTAGACGAAACCACACATCTCTGAGATAACTTTTTAGGAAACACAACTTGAGTGAACAAATTCCATTGACCCTGGGTCAGGTATGAAGCTTAGACAAAGGTCAAAACCAACCTGCTTTATTGTTCTAGACCTTGCTGTATGGGATAGTTCCTGCTGCTCATTTGGAATTCATTGATAACGGGAGCCACATTATACTCCATGGACTTTTTTAAGGTCAGAATAGGTCACTGGTCTTAAATAACCCAACTCAAAATCTATTAGGAACATGCTGCCGGGCGTAATATTTGACGCCTCTCAAACTGCAAAACTCAAAGCAATCGTATCTTTTTTCGTTACCATGGCCTACGAAAGGCGAGACAAGGTCACTGACCTTAACTGAACACTGGTGACCTTTTGCTTAGAACAGGTATCTAAGTGCTTGGAGTACTTCTAGCTCCAATCTGGACTTTGACCTTGTTTTACCTTATTTGACCGGTAGGTCATGACCTTCGGTTATGTTGGTATCTCAAGAGAAATCCAAATGGCACCGTCATCAGTGAACTGGAGAGAGAGAGCGATCATTTACAAATAGCTATCTTAGCCCCTACACACGACAAACAACTGAAGCGTTACTACCGCGCTGGCGCTCTGACTTCGGCCCTGACGAGACACCACACGTGTGTGTCGTGGTCCGCTCTGCCTTGCATTTCAGGCTGACCGCCGTGCTCTCTTATCGCCCCTCTTCGGGACAACGCGCATGCCGAGGCTGCTGATCACCGCCGTGCTGTAGCCTTGTCCCTGTGTCACAGCGACGGGCATGTCCGACGGACGGGACTCTTATCGCCGCAGCCTTACTGGGCATCGCGAGGCGATCGTACTACACATGGGGATAGTGAAGAAGCCGGGCCGGTCTTCTTCGCATATCCTACGCTCGTGAAGCATCGGTCAGTGCGCGCAACGCACATGACGCAAGTCCACCTTCGTGCTCCTCGTCGCCGGTCATTGATCTAATTACCTTTCCGATGAAGCGACTTAGAGGAAAATCTATATTCCCCAGAGATGCTTCACAGGGCGTGACCTGCGACTACAAGAGTACTGCGGCATGTACCACCAAGAAGCCATAACACATGCACTCTTCTCAAGTCTCCTCGGCCCCCGCCAGTCAACAATCCATCAAGCGTGCTGTTGGGGAGCCCCCGCGGGAAGCGGATACGTGGGCTCATATTACCGGCTTGTTGTTTCTCGTCGTCGATTCTTCAGTATCAGATAAGACACCGGTGGGAATGCGGACTCCACAGTCACGAGTGTAGCAGGACTTTCAAATTGTCGTAATACGAGCATTCACCTGTCTTATTGCATTCCAATGTGCGACACTTTCATACATCGTTAAACAGCAGTGAGAGAGTACGTCATGGCTTACCCTGGTCAGGTTTTCTGCAGCAGCAAACCAGTCATCGGTGGCGAACAAAATCTCGGCTCCCTGCAAAAGTGGCGGCTAGTCAGGTCACCCCTCTGAAACAGACGGCAGTCCTCTCGCCTTTGATCACGAAAGATCACGAAACTCGGCGTGTTGGTTATTATTAACATCGAAACGTAAGCGGCTTTCAATATTTGTTGAAGAAAATGACTATTTCGTTCACGCTGTTGTCCAACACCACAGTGCAAGGCGTTTGTCACCAAGCACTATTACCAGCCAAGGACGTATCCTGACTATCCAGAGGTTATCAAGTGTTATAGTGGTATAATTTAAAAGTATGATAGCTAGAAGACTATTCTTATACAAGCATGCTGCAAAAGAGGTTATGTGCTGGCGCATTAGAGATGGACACCATTGCGTCAACGGATTCCGCAACATGGACGCGTCGTCAGTGACACACGTTTTGGAACGTTATTTTGTGCGAATAAAGCAAGTTTCAGATCAATCCTGAAAAACGCAAAATCCTTTTAAAAATTAGTTACGCCAAAACGTTCATTCTTGGCGACGTAACACTTCCGGCAGTCAACATAACATTGTTTGCGGCATGCAGATGACATGACTATTTCGGCAAAAATACCTGTGCTTTACCTATTACGTGCAGTTGATGCACTGGATGGTGACAGGTATTGCTAATACCTATAAGCGTCCAGTGGATTTCCATAGCTGTAGTGTTGTACACGTAAGCATGTAAGCATGCAGATAATACACACCCACACCCACACACCCACACACCACGCCCACACCCACACCCACACTCACACCCGCACCCACACCCATATCCACACCCACACACGCACGCACGCTCGCGAGCACGCGCGCACACACACGCACACACAGCATTGTGTGTGTTACGAAACATACCTGTCCGGCCGTCAGGTTGTTCATCTCAGCGAAGCGCGGAGTATCCACGCGGTAGCTTTCTTGAAAACTCGCCATGCTTCTGAAAGCAATGGATATTCATGCGCAATTTAACATGATATTCGTTTTGGACCGGGAAGCGAACTGCACGTTCGCTGCTGACGTCAAGTGCGAAATGGGCGACGCCTACGGATAGCATTGACAAAATGCCTGCAAACCCCGCGATGCAGCGGTCGCGGGCTTTTTTGTCCGAGACGAGTCCCGGATAGACCCATACCGTAGGCTCCAGTGTTGTTTTTTGGGAGCGCATATCGGGCGTGGAAGCCCGCAAGCGCAGATGTCCCAAAAGATGAACCAATAACATTCTATGCCACGAAGCAAACCTGTCAGCTTCTAGCGGTGGCAGCCAGCGCCCGCGCCCTCCGGCCTCGTCAAACGAGTGGCTGGCTCGATCACCCCAGCCCGACGAAGGGCGCCGCCACGTGACCCCGACCTGGCAGGGGCGCCCCTGGAACCCGAACATCGGGCGGCTAGCATAGCAACACCGACCGGCCGGGTCACACGAGCGGCGGCAGCCGGAGCCGAGCAAAGGCGCCAGCAGTGCCGCGACAGCCGGCTGGCCGCAAGGGGCCATTGGCAGCAGGCCGGCATAGAGCGATTGTGTACTACACATGCAGCTCATACACAAAAACCGCTCCACACAAGGTATGCGCACTGGTACCGAGAGAGGTTCAGGGGCCATTGGCAGCAGGCCGGCATAGAGCGATTGTGTACTACACATGCAGCTCATACACAAAAACCGCTCCACACGAGGTATGCGCACTGGTACCGAGAGAGGTTCAGGGGCCATTGGCAGCAGGCCGGCATAGAGCGATTGTGTACTACACATGCAGCTCATACACAAAAACCGCTCCACACGAGGTATGCGCACTGGTACCGAGAGAGGTTCAGGGGCCATTGGCAGCAGGCCGGCATAGAGCGATTGTGTACTACACATGCAGCTCATACACAAAAACCGCTCCACACGAGGTATGCGCACTGGTACCGAGAGAGGTTTAACAATCCGGCCTAGCTCGGACAGCCTGTGTTCAGGGTGGAGTGTACGCTATTTTTACACACTTCCTGTGTATTTTTACGTATGCTATCTTGGTTTTTTGTTGTTGGTTATTAAAACTTCATTTAAGCACCTCATTTTGCCCCTGAAAACGAAGGGCTTGTCATTAAAAAGCTAATTATTGGCCCGAGTGAACTCAGAACAGACTAAATGTTAGCGCTGTCGTGTTTCTTCTTTCGTCCCGTAAGGCCATCATAACTTGCCCTAATGGACTGCCATAATGCAGCTACCGCCTTAATGTATTCGCCTCTCTCCAGGCTCGTATCAAGAACAAAAATGTACAAAAGAGATATAAAGAACGAACATTTGGCAACTTGAAAGCCACATTAATGATGTGGAGATGGCACATAGGTCTACGCATACATCTCAGAATAACGTCGTATCTGCACAATTGTGTCATCACATCTAATATAGAATCAGCCGCTGCCAGTAACGTTTTATCTAAAAATATCAATAGCCGTATCGGTGCTATCCGTCGTGACTCACAGCACACAGGTACGTCATCGCTCACGATAATAAGCATGTACGTTATCGCTCACGGCAATACACATTGGTGCCCCTCATCGCTCACGACAATAGACAGTTACATCATCGCTCACAACAATACACAGTGTTGTCCGTCATCGCTCACAAGGCACAATGTTGTCCGTCATCGCTCACGACAAGGCACAGGGTTGTCCGTCATCGCTCACCAGGCACAGTGCTGTCCGTCATCGCTCACGACAAGGCACAGTGTTGTCCGTCATCGCTCACGACAATACACAGTGTTGTCCGTCATCGCCCAAAATACACAGGTCAGTATGGTTTCAAGCTCGCAAGCAGCGCGTCAAGACGTTGGACCTGTGGCTGAAACTGCGGGACTGTGATATTATTGGTGGGAAGGCATTGTACGGACCTCTGTCTCGTAATGGAATGCAGAGTTGCACAACCAGCTTAGTTGCAAATACGTGAAAGCGCTATCGAAACACGCTATCTTGGTAATATTGGGTATCGGAACGCATGAAGCCTTCAAGTTTTCGAAGAAAATAAGCACAAAAAAACAACCGATCCATGGCGGTTGCGGTTTTTGCTATGGTCGTGTTTTATCGTCGGTGTTAACTCCAGTGATTTCAGGCGGAGGGATTGAGTTATGCGGGGCAGGAGGGTGCCCGTCGTGACCCCGGCCGCGGACTAGCCTTCCAAAACCTTCTTAATTCACTACGGCTTTGGTTGTGGCTGTAGCTGTTTTGCAATTTGACCGTGATAGCAAATGCATATATTTCCCAGCGTCATCGACTGGCAGCATCATCACACGACGTGTTGGCGTCGTGACAGACACGAAGCTAAGTGACAAACTGATGGCATTTTTGCTACCGCGATGCGTTGCGCGAGTGGGCCACTCCACGGATGCTTCGGACGTCGTGACTGATGAACAGCAGTCCATATTTGCCTCTTCGGGCAGCTCTATATGTTGTTCTTGTGTGCAGTGAGTGCACCTACGCGTTTTCATGTTGTTTTTTTGTTTTGTTTTTTGTTTTGCTCCTGCATGTCTCCCAGCCCAGCGCGCATGCCATCTGATCCGCGGGGTTTCAGGAACATGCTGGAGCTCGCCCAGCGCGGTAATGGTCAGCCTCTGAGGCGCGCCACATCACTCCGCTATTTGATAAAAAGCACCGAGCGTATTTTGTGATACTGTGAGCAGTGTCAGTCGGTGGAAAGCATTGCTAAATTGGAAAAGGAGCTGCAGCACGCTCGTTTTGTGCTGGCAGCTTAAACACCGATTCCATATTACGCTTGTTTTGATGCTTTGAGCTGCCCATTGCGCCACATGTTATCGCGTCTTGTTATCGTGTTGTTATCGTGTCCTGTACGCTACTTCTTTTGCGCTGAATGGGGTCATTTTTCGATCGCTTCAGTTCTCAAGGTCACGTTGATGCCTAACTCCATGTCACCTTTGACCCCACCTGCGGTAATACCTTTTCGGACGTTTGATCACGTTCCGCCGAGGCCACTCGGGGGTTCCGGGGCACGTGGCATTGTCATCGGGACTTCACCTGCCGGGCCCTGGCCCGCCGCACCGCCGCACTAGAGCTCTTGCCGGTACCTCAAGCCCTCTTTCGGGCTAAGTTCTCATCGCGCCATTATCGCTTATTGGGACGGCGCTACAATCGCTTACTAATTCACTTCACAGATCACTGCCTAGAACTCTCCTACGAAGTCCACAACGAAGAAAAACGCCATCCATCTCGACTCCCATTGCGTGCAGTTGGGCGTACCCGATAGCGTTGTCACTGCGTAAGTCCTTTACGCAAACAATGTCCTAGAGGCGCTCTTACTGGCAGCATGCGTGGAATCTGACCCTGGGCCAGTACTACCGTGCTCGTTAAGAATTACGCACTTTAGCGCAGATAAAAATATAGCCCCGATTGAAGTAGAAAATTTTTGTCGATTGGTGAACACACAGCACAAATATTTTTGTGTTAACCGATGAGAATAAAATGGCACCATTCACTCGGGTTTCCACAATCTACAAGTTCTTCAAGCAGCCATCACCAGACATTAAAATCGTCGTGGCGAGTGTTTGCGCGAGTGTGGGAGCACGTGCGCGCCGTCTGCTCCGCCAGACAACGGCTGCCCGGCCAGCTGACTGCAGACGGCTGTCCGCTCAGCTGATCGGACGAGCTGACTGCGGGCGTCGCCGCCGCCCGTCCGGACAGTGACGGACCGGCCGGCTGGCGCGGCCCCGGCGTCGGCGGCGCCTCTCGTGCATAATGAGCCCGTTAACAAGGCTACCGACGCTTATCGCCGGCACAGGCTGCCTCCGGCCCCGCGACGCCACCCCGCTCGCGCCGGCCGCAACCCCGGCCTCAGCGAGGACACAGCGCAAGCAGATGTGGCCGTCAGGGCAGCGGGGCCGGCGGCGGCGAAATGGGCGGTGGGGCTGGCGTTCCACCCGCTGCGGCCTAGCGCGGCCGTCTGGCGACCGGACAAACCCCAATCCGTCCGGCCATTGGCGCATCAGAGCTGGCGACGAGACCGTGTGTCGAGGCGGTCTGGCGACCGGATAAACCCCAATCCGTCCGGCCATTGACGCATCAGAGCTGGCGACGAGACCGTGTGTCGAGAAAAAAATGAGACGATTTCTTATTAAAATGCCAAACTGGGAGCAGAAAGGCGACTCAGCAGCGCGACCCAACGTAGACTATGTGCTCGAAGTCGTCGGATGCAACTTGATGAACAAAAATTGCTGTAGTGAAACATCACTTTTATGGTTTTCTGCTGTTAATTATTTCTGACATCCGAGAGGCTCAACGATTATATGTGAACTCGGTATTCCACAAGAACCACAGAAAATAGCAAGCGACTGCTAGTTGTAATGAGAGCTTTCCTCGAACTTTTCCTCATCCTCCCAATAAAGGCTGAGTGGCTGGACGGTTTTTCACGACGAAATCTTCTCCGGAATGTTAGTGACGCCACCCGGGCTGACAACAGCGAATGCCTACTATATACCGCACTCATTAAACCGGAGCAGCTGCCTGTTGCCACGTCCTACCCAATAGGAGCTGTGGCCAAAAGAGTTATCAGCGCTGAGAGGGCTGGGGATAACATGCCATAACATTCGCCGAACTGCAATTTGACCCGGCAACTCGTGTCCCACATTCCCACCTTTGACCTCATATGTGTCTTGTAGACCATAAGAGGGAGCGTTCCCCATTTGAAGCTGTTGAGGCAAACATGAGATATGGTGAAAGGAGCTAACTATTGGTGTACTTTTAAGCGGGAAATACTGCTCTAGACAACAAAGATAGCTCTACATAGCATCTAGACGACGAAGATTTTCTCTGTTTATAAATACTCTGCTCAATGCGTCTGATCGCGACATCGCATCATGATTGGAGCCAATTGACGACCACTTTATCTGGAAATCGCTTTCACTTATACCAGATATGAACGGCTCTACAACTACATTTTTTGTTCTTCATTGCCGTATGGCCAATAAAATGGTAGAATTTGACATGGTGCCATAATGTGGGAGCATAACAAATGACGTTGTTGTAGCGTCAGGAATGCCTGTGTGACCTTGAAATAGTCTGCACGAAATAGTTTGCGTGTCCTTGCGGGTGTGTGGCTCGGGAAATAGAGCGTTTTAGGTTTTAAGAGGGACAGTGTGAACTGCACCCAATGATTTTCAGGGTGGCCATTTCAGTTCAAAACCCTATGCATACGTGGAACACTCACTTTAATACCTACAATGCCGGAAAGGTGTGCCTCCTGCACAGATAAACTTGCAAGGCATGCTCGCCATTCTATTGTGGAAAATCACTTCAATTTAAAGGGAGTATCCCACCTTTTTTACTTTCCACTTGTTGTTACATTAAACGCGTACCATTTGATCAGTAACACCGGTTTTGCTC